AGGAGCTGGGCATGTTTAGCCTGAAGAAGAGAAGGCTGAGAGGAGATATGATAGCCATGTATAAATATGTGTAAGGAAGCCACAGGGAGTAGGGAGCAAGCTTGCTTTCTGCTTCCCTGGAGACTAGGATGCGAAACAATGGCTTCAAACTACAAGAAAGGAGATTTCATCTGAACATGAGGAAGAACTTCCTGACTGTGAAAGCCATTCAGGAGTGGAACTCTCTGCCGCAGAGTGTGGTGGCGGCTCCTTCTTCAGAAGCTTTTAAACAGAGGCTGGATGGCCATTTGTCAGGGGTGATTTGAATGCAATATTCCTGCTTCTTGGCAGGGGGGTTGGACTGGATGGCCCATGAGGTCTCTTTAACTCTTTGATTCTATGATTCTATGTTGCCACAGGCTCTCACTGTAACATCACTCCTAACTTTTCCCTGTTGTTTGGTTTGATGTCAACTATGGAATGTTAGGAAGAGAAAGCCCCCTCCTGTGGTATCCCTCCATTGTAGACTGCCACAATATAGGAGAGGCAGGGGGCATGTAGGGTGACCACCCAGTGATACCAAACAATGTTCAACACTGCTGGAAGGTCAAGATTTCTCTATCCTCCATGGTGGCTGAGGGAGTTCCTCCGTGGGCTCTTTTTGGTGACACTCTGGCATGGGGTATGCACAATCGGCATGGACCTAAGGGTCAGCCCTATGTCTTACATGCTGTGACTCATGCTTCTCATATTCCATGTCCATATAATGTGTGTTGTACACTTCAGACTTTCCTTTCGTCTCTGAGCATGTCAGTATCTGAACATTCTTTCAGCTCGAGTACAGTTTTGCTATTGATCTAGCACTACTTGCAGTTGTTCTCTGCTGCAGCCCAGGAAATAGTTGAGTGCTACTTGACCTGTAAATTTCATCTCCTGGCATAATCTCCCATTTCATTTTGGATTGTCTGTTTAGCAATCCTGGAACAGGTAGTTCATAGACTGGTAACCTCAAAATTATACTTCTGCAATGTGCTATACATAGGATTACTTCTACAACAAGTTTCAAAATATCAGTTTGTACAAAACATGGCAGCTAGATTGGTTATTGTTGAATCTAGGACTGATGGCATTACACCAATATTGAAATCACCTCACCAGCTGCCAATTATGAGTTTCCAAGCAAGATACTAAGTGTTGGCTGTCACCTTTAAAGACTTATATCACCTTGTCCCATATAATCCATCCTGTACACTATAATCTTCTGGGGGACATTTACTTTAGCTAGTCAGAACTAGGCAGGCAACTGTTAACCAGAGAAAAAATTCTTTAACCAAACTTTGAAATAACCTGTCAGAAGTGAATTTAAAAAAAACTTTAAACACAAATCTCTTCAGCAGGTCTATCCAGATGGTTTTTAAATTATGAATTGTTTTTAATATGTATGCTTTTTGAACTGATGCCATGCTCTTTCAACTGATTATGTATTTTTAATTAGTGCTCATGTTTTTAACAGTGTTATGTATCTATCTGCTATTCCCTTCTTAATTCATAAGGTGAGGAAGATCAGACATAAATATAATTGTTAATATTATTGATACTCCATGTGTGATCTCTGTACATGTACATACATGGAATTATGCATATGTAATACATGTAAACAGTCTATATAGACAGTACAGAAATTGTAGGGGTGGAGAGAAAATGAGTTTTTCATGTTTAAAAAAGCATACATCTTTTCACACAGGAGTTTCTTGATAATAGCCTGTATGTTGTTGTTGTTGTTGTTTGAAAGTCTTCTTCTGGAACATGTACAGAATAGTATTCTTGTATTGTTATTCAAATATCACATTTAAAAAGCAGTAGACTAGGACTGATTAACCCAAAGGCATCAAATCTTATCTGATCTTGGGAGCTAACCAGGGTCAGTTCTGGTTAATACATGGATGGGAAACTCTCAAAGATACTCTAGGCTATTTTCAGATGAAGGGACTGGAAAAACCACCCCTGAATATTACTTGCCTAAAAAAATTTTGTGAAATACATAAGGCTGCCATAAATAAACAGGTGAAGACACAGAATAAGGAACTGAGTAAATTGGCGGCATGTTTTTATTTCAATTACTTGCTTATGCTTATAAAAAATATCTGTCAATCTATTAAAATAAATTCTGGTGCATTTAGAAGGGCTTTCATATCATGGGACAATTGCACAAGTCATTATTTTACTTCAGTTGCATGAGCAGCAATAGTAGATACATAGCATGGTCCCCTAGTTATTTCACAAAGTAGCACCAATTTGCCAATCCATGGTGTCATGGTTGCTCTTTCACATATCCTCATAATCCCACCTTTCTGCGCTTCCATTGTTCTGAAATTTTTATCATTATTTTAACCAATTACATAATTATAGCAGTGGCTAAATTTAAACAAAACAAAAAATACTCAAAATTTGAAAAAAGTTCTGGAATAGCAAGAGAGAGATGGGGAACAACCACACAATGACATCATTTCAATGCCAGCACAGAAGTGAAATAGCTCAATCACAATAGACAGGTGATGGCAACATAGCAGGATTCACAGCTATGAATGGTTTTGGTTGTCAGTACTGGAAGACAGGTTATTCATGGGGAGGAAGCAGACCAACATGCTACTTCAATGCTGGTTTGCCTCCCTTATATATTAAAGTCTACAGTGTTGTTAGAAAAATATTTTAACTTTGTCTAATCAATTTTAGACCTCCCAGTTGTGTGCAGTTTAAAAATACATGTTTGTCTTTAAATCCTTGCCATAAAACTTTGAATAGAAAAGCTAATGAAAGTCAAAAAGAGGTCAAAAATAATTCAGAGGAAAGCAAAAAAGAAGGAGGGAATACAAGCAACCCAAGCATGTATATACATTAAGGTAAATTTTATTAAAGAAAAGAAAAAGAAAATATAAAAATGATACAACGGAATTCAATAAATCTGTTATCCAGCACAAGTGAGAGATTATGATCACCCAACAGCCATGGACTTCTACACAGCTGTGGGCTTCATCCTGCCTCTCCCTGGCCTCAAAACTGCTGCTAGATTAATATTACATGTTGGAGATTTGGCTGGAGTTCTCTCCTCCCCGGTCTACATAGATGTGCTTTTTATTCACACATTCTCCCTCTGGCCTCTTTACTCTCTCTCAGATCTTCTCTACTCAAATTCCATCACAATAAACTCTTCCCCAGATTATCCTAGGACAGTGCCTCAAGGACAAAAATAATTGCCATGTAGGCATCCTGTTGGCATCAGGAAGGATACAAAGACTTAAAGCTTCCCCTCCATGTCCCATGCTAAGGTACTGGAGTGTGTATAGTTAAGGCAAAGTTTGACCCTGTCGCAGTGGCACATAATTAAAGGAATAGGCATTGCACACAGAATCTACTAGATTCTCTTTGCCACATATAATCCCTCTGCAAACAATGGAGCGCCAGTTGCATTCTAACTTCAGAAAGTGAGACAGAAATGGTATGCCTGCATTCTGCAATTGTATAAAGTAGGATTCACTACAAGATACTTTTATGTATATTCCAAGCCTATACATAAAAGCCTATACATGCCATCACCATGTAGGTGTTCTCCTTCACCAACATCTATAAGCAAAAATGCTTAATAAATAGAACAGATGCCTTTTCCAGAGCTTCTTTTAGACCCTTTAACTATGAGGGTGAGGGTGTCATATTATTCAAGCAATCCAAAGAATAAGTAAAAACAGCTGTCGTACTTGCTACAACCAAGAGAGAAGCTCAGAAATATCCCCCTTATGAACATAAAATCAGTTAACTGGACATTAATATTAGAAACCTACATCTATTGTTAAAATTCATAGAATCTTAATCATTGCTTGTGAGTTGGGAATACATCTGGGAATACATCTTAGCATAGCTTTGGACAGTCATACAAAGACAAAACCACATGCCAGTAATATAAAGACAAAATCACATATATTCCTACAGGACCTGGACAGCTCCTTGACACAGAAATTCAAAGGAACTAGTTAGCAACCTATGAAGTACTGAATTATAGGATACTACCCTTCCCCTGCCACGTGTTGCTGTGGCCCACATGGGGGTTCTGTGTGGGAGGTTTGGCCCAATTCTATCATTGGTGGGGTTCAGAATGCTCTGTGATTGTAGGTGAACTATAAATCCCAGCAACTACAACTCCCAAATGTCAAGTTTCTATTTTCCCCAAACTCTACCACTGTTCACATTTGGACATATTGAGTATTCGTGTAGAGTTTGGCCCAGATCCATCATTGTTTGAGTCCACAGTGATCTCTGGATGTAGATGAACTACAACTCCAAAACCAAAGGACACTGCCCAAAACCTTCCAGTATTTTCTGTTGGTCATGGGAGAACTGTGTGCCAATTTGGGTTCAATTCCATCATTGGTGGGGTTCAGAATGCTCTTTTAGTGTAGGTGA